TGTTTGGTCCACATCAGGGCCAGTTTTTGGTTAATTTTCCATTTCTGAATATTTTCTAAAAATACCTGTCTTTTATTCTTAAAAAAATACAAAAAATATTCTAAAAAAAGAAAAGACTCTTCTGTTGCTGTGTGCTCTCATTTGCCCTGTCTCGGGGCTGTGTTTGGTCCACATCAGGGCCAGTTTTTGGTTAATTTTCCATTTCTGAATATTTTTTAAAAATACCTGTCTTTTATTCTTAAAAAAATACAAAAAATATTCTAAAAAAAAAAAACACTCTTCTGTTGTGCTCGTTCATTTGTGTAGTTCCAACCCGTGCGCTCCTTTTGCCAACAAAGTGCTAGATACACTGCTCGCTCATTTGTGTAGTTCCAACCAGTGCGCTCCTTTTGCCAACACAAAGTGCTATACTACAGTGCTCCTCATCATTTGTGTAGTTCCAACCAGTGCGCTCCTTTTGCCAACACAAAGTGCTACTACACTGCTCGCTCATTGTGTAGTTCCAACCAGTGCGCTCCTTTTGCCAACAGAAAGTGCTATAATACAGTGCTTGCTCATCATTTGTGTAGTTCCAACCAGTGCGCTCCTTTTGCCAACACAAAGTGCTACATACACTGCTCGCTCATTTGTGTAGTTCCAACCAGTGCGCTCCTTTTGCCAACACAAAGTGCTATAATACAGTGCTTGCTCGCTCATTTGTGTAGTTCCAACCAGTGCGCTCCTTTTGCCAACACAAAGTGCTATAATACAGTGCTCGCTCATCATTTGTGTAGTTCCAACCAGTGCGCTCCTTTTGCCAACACAAAGTGCTATAATACAGTGCTCGCTCATTTGTGTAGTTCCAACCAGTGCGCTCCTTTTGCCAACACAAAGTGCTACATCCACTGCTCGCTCATTTGTGTAGTTCCAACCAGTGCGCTCCTTTTGCCAACACAAAGTGCTATAATACAGTGCTCGCTCATTTGTGTAGTTCCAACCAGTGCGCTCCTTTTGCCAACAGAAAGTGCTATAATACAGTGCTCGCTCATTTGTGTAGTTCCAACCAGTGCGCTCCTTTTGCCAACACAAAGTGCTATAATACAGTGCTCGCTCATTTGTGTAGTTCCAACCAGTGCGGTCCTTTTGCTCATTATTTGTGTAGTTCCAACCAGTGTGATGAAACGCTTCCTTCCCGGCTTTTCTAGTCGCAAGGGCCAAGTGCTATCGCGAATACCGAAGAAAGGCAGGGGACTGAAGATGAACACATTGACAAGAAGGGAACATTCATCCAACGAGATGGTTATTGAAACACCCACAGATGCTTCAACCAGCTGTGAGATGGCAGAACCTTCTTCTTCATCAGTTCGAAAGACTCTACGTTCAGATCCTGATGTCGTTCCAAGTACCTCTGATACTACTTGTTATGAAGAGGAGGGCGAGGAGGCGGACGTGTCAGAGGAATGGGAGGAAGACAAGATGGAATGTGCTTCCACCACAGGAATTAGTGATCAAGAGGACTGCATGCTGATGGAGGGCGAGCTACAGAAACAACCAACGATTATACTCCCTTCCACAAACACCGACAGTCCAAACACGAGCATGAGTAGATCTGAAGTGCCTAGTAGGGGTAGGCCGAGATCGCTCCTATGGGATCATTACGACGTCCATAATGAGAGGGCCACTTTGGCAGTTTGCAGGCATTGCGGTGTGAGCGTCAGCAGAGGAAAAGATATGAGGCATCTTGCCACAACAGGGCTAAGGATGCACATTAAGATACACCACCCCCAAATGTGAAGTTGGTCCTTCTTACTTAACTTGCAATACTGCTACAGAAATTAGTATGTATGCAATACTTCCCAGATAATTTTCAGAGTTTTTTCAAAGTGCAATTTCTGTTACTTTTTGTTACTTTTTCTTTATTTATTTCTTATATTTACTTTCTAAGTTTTTATAATAACATTATTTTTATATATTAATAATTTATAATTTAATTTTATATATTATTTTTATTATTATTTATCATTATATTTTATAAATATTTTATAAATTTAATTATATTTTATTTAAATATTTATATTATTATTTATTTCATTTATATAATATATATAATAATATATTATTATATTATATTATTTTATTTTATATTGTATATATTATATAATTTTATATTATTTATTGTTATTATTTATTATTATTATTATTATTATTTTATTTATTTAAATTTTATTATTATATTATTGTTTATTTCATTATATTATTAAATTGACTCCGTTTTGGATTCTTTATCTTATTACCTTTTTTTAATATCTTAATATCTTGTTCTATTTGATTATTTTATTTGATTTATTTTATGAAATGATTTTGTTTATAGAGCATTTAGCATTGCGAAATCGCGTCCGCCATTTTAACGAATCAATTCGTTATTATTTTAATAGCGAATCAATTCGTATTAAATAACGAAGTTTCGGAAGTCGCTTTTGCGCATGCGCAATCGCGTCCGCCGTTTCAACGAATCGATTCG